TTTTGCCTGGGCAGGGCGCAGTGCTGCAGCCACGTTTGGCGGGGGCGTGTGCTGGCGCGGTTGCCAAGCGCGCACGTTCGCGTCACGCCATCCTTCGGGGCGCCCAGCCCTGCCACGGTTTGTTGCAGCCCCCTGGGCTGAAGCCGCAGGGGTTATCACTGCGGGCTGGTTGCTGGAGGAGCGATCATGTCGGCCTGAGTAAAGGCCCCAGGCGCGCGTGGACCCTGGCACTGGCGAGGTGGCCCTTAGGGCCTGCACGGGTGCACGCGAGTAGCCGATGACCGCTGGGTGTACCCTGGCGTGGGGGGCGTGACCGTGGCTGGAGGCGGCTGCTCCAGCAGCCGCGGGCCTGGCACCAATGGGGCCACGGTAGTAGGCGGGAACCCCGTCGTAGGCCGTGTTACCGCCTGTCGGGACTCGCGCGGGGGAGCGGTAGCGTGGCGTGCCCTGCTGTCCTGCGTCACGTTGGTCCCGCTGCTGGATGCGCTGCTGGTGCTGTTGGTGACGCTGCCAGTCGGCTCTCGAGAGGGGACGGGTGTCGGGGAGGATGGTGGGCACGTCGGGCCGCTGCCAGCCCCGATAGACGTGCTCGAAGGCGTGGTCAGGGTAGGTCCCCCCTACGGGTGAGTATCGCCGCACATGCTCCATGTAGTCGATGTTCTGCGGCTCGGAGATCGCCGTGATGTTGACAGCTCGCTGGTGCGCTGGTCCATAGAGGCAGAAACTACCACGGTTGCTGCGGTCGTGGTTTAGCTCGGCTTCGGTCGTGGCACGGCTCACCATGGCGTCGCAGAGTCGCATGTCGTAGTCGAGGGCTTGAGGCCCAGGACCACCCTCGGCGTCCCAGTACAGTACCACATCTCGCCAGCGGGTGCGGGTGGTGTGGATGCGCTCGGCGATCGACTCGCAGACGGTCCTGACCGTGACACGATCCCTGTACATGTTGGTAATGGCTAGGGAGTAGGGTCGGCGGACCGTCTTGTTGAAGGTGAATTCCTCCTTGAGGGCCTGGTGGGGACTGAAGAGCACGTAGCCTTCCCTCCAAAGCGGTTGGTCGGGGGAAGGTTCTTCGGGCATCCCCGTTCCTGTGAATCCAGGTGGCCGCCTTGTGCCGTCAGGCAGTCCCTGCCTGGGGACGCGCCGCGGCTGCGGTGGGAAGTACCATTGACCCTGGTAGCCTGCTTGCCCTGGTTGTGGAGGTTCCCCCCCGGGGCCTGAAGGCGCTCGGGGGGGTTCCTTAAGGTCGTGGAGGGCTGGCGCGTTGCCGAATTGGCGGGCAAGGATGTGCGGCGGCATCCCTGTGGCACGGACGTCGAGCAGGTTGTGTGGCCTGGGGGGATGGGGGCACCTGCTGGACAGGCAGCATGTGTCGGAGTCCCTGTTGTTGGTGCTGTATGCACACGTCCAACTGTTGCACGAGTAGTCCGTGGACCAGTCCATGAGTGTACGCAGTCCGCTGCGGCCGCAGTCTGGGCACGTTGGTTGGCCCGAGGTGCCGAGCTGCGTGTTGCGGCGAGAGAGAGAGAGAGAGAGAGAGAGAGGGAGAGAGAGAGAGAGAGAGACCGAAACAGAAGGACAAACGCATAGCGAGAGATAAACAGAGAGAGAGAGAGAGGGAGAGAAAGAGAGAGAAAGAGAGATAACGACAATATACACAGAAAGAGAGAAAGAGAGAGAGAGAGAGAGAAACAGAGCAAGAGAAAGAGAGCGTATAAACATAAACCTCGAGGAAGGGAGACATTCAACGCAACTCGCATGCAAACCTATCTATAGATGAAAGGGAAAAGGCGTGCAGAGAGAGAGAGAGAGAGAGAGAGATGGAGAGAGAGAGAGAGAGAGCGACTGATACAGATAATGATATCAGTACATGCGTATATGACAACAACAATAACACCAACAACACGTAACATGAAAAGGGGAGGGAGAGATGGAGAGCGAGGGGTGCAGAATGACCGAACCTGTCGCCTGGAAGCTCCTCGGCGGTCCAAGGACTTTATGGCCTTGAGCGCCGCGGCCTTGTTAAACAATCCGCGGCCGTGCCGGGTTTTGCTGGAGATCGCGTTGGGGTTGTTTGCGGGTCAGAGGGTGGTTCTCTCGGGTTCGTCGAAAGGGGCCATCAGGTCGATTCGGGAACATCTTGGGGGCGCCTTGAGATCATATGCAGAGGTCGCGTCGGGGTCATTTTGAGGTCGCTGGAGGGTCACATTGGGGTTATATTGGGGTCGCCTTAGGGTCCTGATATCGCTCTGGGATCGTCATGGGGTTGATACTGTTGTCCCGGGGTAGCCTTAGGGCCAGCCACAAGGTGATGGGGCCCTCTCGCCATTGACGATCTCATTGGGGCCGTCTCGGGGTCACCCTGTGATCGTCACGGGTGCGAAGGGCCGTCTTAGAGTCGTCTTGGTGGTCATCAGGGGGTCGTGGGATCACCGTAGTGCCATAACGCCCTTCCGAACAATCAGCATTGTCATCGTCATCGGCATCAAGACCATCAAGACCATCATCATCCGCATCAGCATCAACATCATCATGCTCACCATCATCACATGTCCTCTCCGCCTCCTTCATTGGACATGGTTCTCTTGGCGTCTTCGGGCCTCCTTGGCAGGAGGAACCAATCGACTAGTTCAATTACGAAGGAGAGAGGACATTAATCAGTTTGAATCAGTCGGGAGCATGTTGGGAATCTCTTGTGGGCATCTAGAACACCTGTTCGGGGACTCTCAAGGCCTTCTAGCGTCCTTGCCAACCGACTTAGAAGGCTTATGGGCCGCTGCGCTTCCATGCCGATCAAACTCATAATCGCTTAAGCCAATGTTGACCTCTCGGTGGCCACTGCGTAAAACAAATTTACTCCTGAGTTAACCCTCCGACCGGAAATACCGTTAAACGTGTTTACTCCAAAATTAACCCTCTGGCAGGAAATCCCGTTAAACATGTTAACTCTGGAATTAACCCCTCTTGGAAGGGATCGCAAACTGCATTTGTGTTGTTATTGCTGTCAGATGGACCCAAGAGCGCTCCCAAGGCTCCCAAGAACGCTTCAAGAGGGCCCCAAGAGGCGCCCAGGAGGCCTCAACAGGCGCCCGAGAGGCCTCCAAGATGCTCCCAAGAGATCCCCAAGAGGCCCCAAGAAACTCTCCGAGGCACCCAAGACGCTCCAAGAGGCCTGAGGACTCCACTAGGGGACCCTTCCTCTGTGTGCTGCCCACTTCCCTGATCGAGGCAATTCCTCTGGGCTTCACTTCTGGATGGGCTGGTGGGGGTACTTTTCGGTCTGCGGGCTCGCGAAGCAGGTCGAAAGCCGTCCGAACACTAGCCGGGCCGCGACTAGGCAACAAGAAAAAAAAGGCAAGCGAAGCGAGCGCGCGGCCAGAATGGCGCGGCGGCGCGACCATGAACACGCAGAGGTCGATCACTCGGTGTGAATCGGCACAAGGCCCAACACATACGAGCAGGACCGGCAGGCACACCTGGACGACGTCCGTGCCGTAGGCGACACAACTGCATCGTGTCAGTGCAAAAATAAAGAAGGGCAACCTCGTCACAGACAGGAGTGCAAACGGCAAAACCTCTTGTTTGTACAGCAGTGGCACATGTCGAAAGCGAAGTCCATGTAGGAGAAAGCAGCCGACGGGCGCACAAAGCCACACATGCCTAATTCCTTGCACCGACGAAGACGGCAGCGTAGCGAGACCCCACTGAACCCAAACGGTCACCAGTGGAGGCCGAGCTGGTGGGGTTACGCGAAGCGTGTAGAATATCCTTCATGTCCAATGATGGAAGCCGGTTCGTTCTTAAGATGGGGCTCTCGCTTGAAACCTTTGCAAACTCTATGACCCCACCTCCAAGCCGTGCAACGATTACACAAATGGAAGGCGGATCCTTGTCAAATTTGGACTTTCCCATGGGAGCTCGGCAACTGTTACGACCAACGAATTCAAGGCAGTCGTGCAACACCTGGACCCTAGACGGATGGAGGGTTCATCTTTCGTCAAACTTGTTTGTTTTCTGTCTTTCCTTCTTCTTCTTCTTCTTATTCTTCTTATACATATATATATATATATATATAAAGCTAGGAGGATGGTGGATGGCTTCCTTTACACATCGGGGCTTTGCCCGAATGGCAGGCCAACGGGGCGCGCGTCGATCAACCTCAATGCTTCCCGCAGCGGAAGGGAGCACTGTGGAAACACCTTCTGATGACTCAAGCGGAAAAGGGGCTTGGGCTATGTTGCTCCCATCGTACTGAAGGACCACATCCCAGAAATAATTCCGAGCACCCAGAAAAGTGTCGAAAGAGTGTCGAAACAGTGTGGAAATAGTGTCGGGCGAGTATTTCCCAGGGCCCGACTCGTGAAACCTCTCAAATTTTTGGGTACTTTTCTGGTGTTCGAAATTCTTTCTGGTGATCAAGGCTAAAGTAGGTTGGAACATCATAACACTTGAGACGGACGGGTGTATCGCAACATCCTCGCTGCATCCCGGACTTGCTCTGGTCCTCCTGACTCTCACCGTTCTGCGCTGAGGGGCAGGCCGCTGAATGCACTCCCCGCGCGGAGAGGCGCAGCATCATGTCGTGATGAGGATTCGGAATGGGAAGTGCGGGCCCCGTTGTAAGCTCCAGGGTGCACAAGGAACCGCCTGGTCCGAATCGGCAGCGCCTGCCCAGGGCAGCTGTGCTCGTACTCGCCGACACAGCGGACATGATGGAAGCGTGCTAGAACAAATGCGGAAGGGAACGCCAAATGAGTATGAACGGAAGGTAGGCGCAGTGATTCACGCGAGGCGCTGGCGCGTTTACCTTTCACGAGCGGGGGCCTGCGATGGAAGGCACAACATGTACACTGTGCTCCTCGCTGCTACGTCGCACCGTGTCCATTGGAGAGCAATCGGCTTGGCGGGCACAAAAGCGGAGTTCAAACGTAAAGCAACGTCAAACCACTTTTTCGCTTCATAGCGTGCGCGCTCCTCCGCTTCATACGGTCTTTGGACGCCGCTCAGCATGGCTCCAAAAAGCGAGGTCCTCCACTCGACGTGCGATTCACCCATCCAGTGTCATCTGATCCTGTGGATCCTTTCTTTGACTTCTGCCTTATAGGATGTGCAGCACGAGGAAATGCAGACCTGCATCCCGATTCACCTTATCATCCTATGTGCCCGTTCTTCTCCTGCTGCTCCACACTCTCCACGCATAATCTATGTTCTTACGCCTCAGCGAATGCCCGAGCAGTCCAAGAACTGGGGCTTGAAACATGTGAAGAGCACGACTCGTGTGTCCTGCCCTCAATGTCCATCAGTCTCTATTTCCGTCCTCGCCTCTGCATGTGCCCACCCCGCTGTCTCTGCTCCTGTTCCAATCTCTGTCTTTATCCTTGTGCCTACCTCCACCTCCGCAACATGTTCCATCTCTACCCGCCTCGATGTCCTAATTTTTCATGGCTTAAATAACTCAATTTCACCTCTCCACAACCACAAGCCTATTTATTTACACATATATATATATATATAGATATGTAGATATAGCTCCAGCTCGGCACACTTGGTGTATGTATGTAGCTATATGTGTATGTGCTTCGACATGCTTTTGAACACATGTACGGCCATCTTTTGATATGCGTATTCGCACTCGAGCACACTGGGGTATGCCAATACAGCGAGGCGTGCCGCACATAACATAGGTTGTACATGTGTATGTATGTGTATCACCCCTTACCCGACTAAACTGAATCTGGATCTCTTATTCTTCATGCATCTCGTTACCTCAAGCTTCTCGCTGTTTTTGTCTATGCATGTATCCATAGTTATGTATGTATTCGTTTCGCAATACTGTATGGTATCCCGCCTCAGATCAACCTCAATACTACTCTTCGTTCGAATGCGGTGCGTGGAAAGCATCGGACGACGACAATTCGAAGCGTTGAAGCCGAGGCAGCGAGAGAGCGGGAGAGAATGGGGAGCAGGAGAGCGGGAGGGCGGGTGAGCGGGAGAGCGGGAGAGTAGGCGAGAACGATATCCTGGGCGGCGGTCGCCGGTCCACGCCACCGCTGCAACGCCTTGTCTTCGTCTCTGTGCGGTGTCGGGCGGGGCGTAAGACTTCATCATGCGACAACAAGTCGACCCCCACATAGTTGCGACCGCCAGCTTGGGGACATCGGCCAACAATACACACACACACACGTATATATATGTATATATATATATGTGTATATATATGTATATATATACACATACAATCGTATCTAAATGTGCGACGAGCCTTGCCCCGCCTTTGATTAGGCATCTCCCAAACGGACAGCAGCCCTCGCGAGCAAAGGACACGAGCAAAAACGATCTCCTACGAATCGAGCTCTTACCTGCTCCACCTTGACGGTGTTGGCGGGGTACTCCATTATCTCGATTACGTCGCCGACGACCAGACTCCTGACTATGGGACAGCTCGCCTCTTCGCCGCTCTTCATCAGGAGAGGCTTGGAGCACACATAATACTTCGAGCAAGGCTTGAGAAACACCGTGCCCTTGTCGCTCTCGATCGAGACCCAGCCCTCAGCCTTGTCCTTGACCGCTCGGCACCGTATGCGCAATATGCCCGATCCTGGAGCCGCCGGTCGCAGTGCGATGGGGCAGCGGGAGGGCAACGAGGGTCTATGACAACTGAGAAGGAGATGGAGGAGGAGGAGGAGGAGGAGGAGGAGGAGGATGACTGGGTGGGAGCGGGGGGGGGGAAAAGGGAAGATGGAGGATGTATGCGGGAGGGGGGAGAGGAAAGCATGAGGGAGGGGGAGGGGCAAAGCTAGAGGCGGGAAGGGGAGAGGATTTAGGAGGCAGGGGGAGGAGGGAATATGGAGGATGAGGCGGACGAGGAAGAAACCATCTTCGGACTGCCTTGGTCTGTCTTGATCCCTGGTGGCTTGCTTTTAGGCAACTCTTAGGCCGACCTGGACCACCCCATGCCCTCTGTGGAGCTTCAGGGGCATGGTGATGTGATGAGGGGGTGGCAAGAGGAGGGGGAGGGCGTATGACAGAGGAAGGGGTGGATGAAGAGGGGAAAGATGGAGGGAAGGAGGGATGTGTGGGAACGGGAGATGAGAAAGGGAGAATGGGATGAGCAGGAGCGGGTGGAGGAGGCATGTAGTAGTTGCCGATGTACTACTAATACACTAGTAGCAGGATCAATGAGAACGAGGAGGAAGTAGAGAACGTGATTGACTTGTTTAAATACAAGGAGGATGAGGAGGAGGCGGACAGGGGAATGGAGGAGCAGAGATGATGACGAGGAACAGGAGCAGATGAATGATATGGAGGAAACAGGGACGCGAACGGCAGGAGCGAGAGGTTACGGACGAAGATGAGCAGCAGGTCGACGACGAGGAGAACGAGGAGGGGGGGAGAAAGGGAGGAAGATGTGGCTCCTAATGGGCCACCGTCCACCTTCTCTGGCTTCGACAACTGCCGCACCACCTCACCTATCTCGAGTCGCCGTAACACGCCGGAGCTAACAGACCTGAGACTCCCGTGCCCCTCCTCCACCTCGTCCCTCCTCCTTGTCCCCACCACTCCATCCTCGTTCTCCCCTTCCCACCTACTGGTCTAGGTTCCTACTCCTTGCTTTTGCCTTCCTCCTCCTCGCTCTCCCTCGATGCTGGTCCTGGTTCTCCGTCCTCCTCGTCCTGCCCGTCGTTGTCGAGGTCGTTGTCCCTTCTCATCTTTCTCGTCCTCGTGCTCGTCCTCGTCGTCCTCCTCCTCCTCGTTCTCCTCGTCCTCATCGTCCTCCTCCTCCTCCTCCTCCTCCTCCTCCTCCTCCTCCTCTCCTCACCGAGCACTTACAGCGCGCGGCGTTCGCTGTGTACACAGCCCCAGTCATTAGCACTGCTGTCCTGAAAATACTTTGTGGGGCGGGTGGGCGGAGTGGGCCAGGCGTGCTGTTTGCCAAAACCTGATCCCCGTCAGCAATACGAGGGAGGTCTGACAAATGTGGGCGTTGGCGCCAACAGGACTGGTCCAGCGCGTAGCCGATTTGATATTCCAACCGCATCTCAATAGCGCGGCAACTTAGAAGTGCGAGGTGCTTTGCAAGGACACCCACGGAGAATCCTTTTTTCAATGCGTACGCACAGTTTTCCACAGGTGGCACGGCCGTGGAGCAAATATTTGCCATGCGTGTGCCTTCCCATCCCCCCCCCCACACAGTTTGACTAAAGAGGAGCAGAAACAAAAACGAAGAGGAAAAAGAACGGCCATCCGAGAACCCCACCTTGGGAGGCTCTCGAAGAGCAGTGGGAAACGTCCGCCAGATCCAGGCAACGTCTCAGTCGTCGTCGTTCGACTGACCTCCGTGCAGGATCCACCCCGAACCCCTACTGGGGTCCACCCTGGCCAGTTTTCCAAGCCGTGCCTGGCCGTGGCGACTAGAACCCCCAGAGACAACCGAAGACCTCTGAGACCACGGCGACGACGTCGTCGTCGGTCCGAGTCTCGGGGGGTCTCCGGAGATCTCCAGAGGCCAGAGGATCACGAAGGATCGAAAACGCAAAGAGACCTTGATACTAGATCCTCGATCCTCGCCGCTGCTGTCGTCCTCGCTCTCATCGTCGTCGCCGCCGCCGTCAAAATTTGGGACGCAGACCTCTTCCTGGGGTGCTCGCCGAGGGGATGCTCGCCGTGGCGACGAGGGGCCTCCCGGGGGGGCCCAGAAGAGCAACAAGAGCGGCCGCAGATCTCGATCCTTCAGGTCGGCGGCGAGCCCGGATGGGAAAGTGAGAAGGGGCGGGCCTTCTCAATCAATTAATCAATCAATGACACCGTGTCTGCACGACACATCGGCTGAAGGAGTGCCTTCTCAGAAGGCTCGGAGATTCACTGGCCTCCTGAGAAGGTTTCGAAGCCTTCCCCGAAGACACAGAAAACCGTTCAGAAGGCGCCAGGGCTTCTGAGAGGGCCTTCTCCTTCTCACCTCCCCTCCTCGCTCGCCGCCGAGAAGGGGGATGATCGGGGGGACTGGCTGACGGGGGGGAAACGTCGACCTGGGACCGGCAATCCATCGCCCATAGGTCGGCGAGCCCCGACAGCGAATCCGCACTGTCCTGAGCGGGTGGGCTATCGGAGCGATGATTGGGCGATTGGGGGTCGATGCGTCCCCCCACGGAGCCTGTCCCCCGTAGCGTTGGCCCTGAGGCCCTGTAGCGCCGAGCCCCGATCGTTGCCGTCGTCGTCTGCGGCGCTCCGCGGCCTCGGCCTCGAACATGGGGCAAGCCTCTCGAGTGCAGGGGCCTCCCTAGGCGCCGGACGCGGCCTCGCACAGCACGGAGGGCTTGATCGCCTCGAAGTGCAGGGTGGAGACCTGCGGGAGGAGGGCTTTTCTCAAACAAATCGCAAGGGAAAGCTGCCAGGATGGGGTCGCGTCAAGGAAGCTGGAGGATCCGCAAGCGCAGCCTGCAGGCCGATTCGTCTACGCTGTTCTTGGATGCGGGGGGAGGAAGAGGCACAGCGTTCCCCATGCGGGGGGGGGAGGAAGGAGAAGGAGGAGGAGGAGGACGAAGAGGATGAGGAGGAGGAGGAGGAGGAGGAGGAGGAGGAGGTGGAGGAGTAGGAGTAGGAGTAGGAGTAGGAGGAGGAGGAGGATGAGGAGGAGCAGGAGAGGAGGAGCAGGAGGATGAGGAGGGGGAGGAGCTGGGCATCAATAGCTGGAGGTCTCAGGGCGGGCTGCAGCTCAGCAGGCAAGACGGCGAGTGAGTTGACGGACGAAGAGATGCTTTCGGCTCTCCAGTGTGTCGGAGACAGGCATTGTCAGAAAGGTGTCAGGCTGGGTCAGGACGGCGGAGGGAGGGAGGGCCCCCAGGAAGCGGCGGCGGCAACAGAGGAGAAGGGGGCAGTGCTGCTCGGGCGATACCCCTGACGGGCCGCCTGCCCGATTACACTCGGGCCGCACGGCGCGGGGCCTGGCGCCGCCGCCGCCACGAGGGCGGCTGGTAGGTGCAACACCATGTGCTGCGCATCGCGTCAACAATCACGCCAGTGTTGAGCGCCGCCATGGGGGCGGCTAGTAGCCCCAGCACCACATGCTCCGCATCACGTCGCTCCGCGACGAGTCTATCTCGACGATCCCGCTCGCGTTGGCCGCCGCATCCGCCCCGCCGCCCTCCTGCGGCGGCGCTGGCGCCTCGTCATCGTCGTCGTCCACATCGAACGTCTTCATCTTGAGCCGATCCACTCCATCCCAATCCTCTGGCGGTGGGTCTTTCATGTACGCCAGGCATCGCTTGCGGAGAATGCGGCTGGCGACGTCCTTAGTGCAGCCAGATGCGACGAAGGTGTTCTCGACTTCCTGGAAAAGCTCTGCGGCGTCGTGGAACTGCCGCTGCTGGTACAGCTCGAAAGCCTTCTGGTGATTCTCGCATGCCAGCAACTTCTTGTTGTCCTCGTTTGCATAAAGCGGTAAGGCCTCGTAGACAGGCGTGCCCTGTACCTTCCCTTTCACGGCCACAACGTCGACCGGGCGGTAGTGCATTGAATGCCTCACCATCTTTAGCGCCTGCAGTGTGCTGTCGCTGACGAGCGTCCTGGTACCATAGCGCGAGTTGAGGCCCTTGAGGCGGGCGGCAAGGTTGATGCCATCCCCGAGCAATCCGTACTTGATACGCTGCGGCGAGCCGATGTTGCCGGCCAACATGCGGGCCGTGTGAACTCCGCAACGGCACTTGATCTCCAGTTCCTTTCCCTCATGCGAGATGAACGGGTTATGGCTGTCTATCACCCTGTGGATCTCCCTCGCGGCCTCCAGCCCCGCCACGTAGTGATGTTTGACGTGGTTGGGCACGTTGAACACCGACACAGTCTCGTCGCCGATAAACTCCAGCAGCGTGCCGGCCTTCTGCTGGATCGCCTCGGCGATGAAGTTCCCGACCGTCGACAACAGATCGATGATCTCGTTCGGCTCGAGGCCGATGCACATCTCGTCAAACTTCACGACGTCGCAAAACAGAATGGTAACGTGACACTTGTTGACGCCGATGCCCGCCTCGATTCCCGAGCTGAAGAGCCGCTGCACTACCATTGGGGGCACGAACATGGACCAGCCGCGAATGGCGCCTTGCATCGACTGGAAGGCAGACTGCAGATGGCTGAGCTCCTCCACCGTCTTGACGACCACCCCACCAGGCATGTCCTTGTCCATTGTCAGGAGCTCCAAGGACGACAGGGCCTGCATGTCGTCCACCAGCCACCGCAGCGGCTGAAGGATCGTCCTGGTGAAGCTCGTGATCTTCCGATTCAGGATGAAGACGAAACACAACAACAAAAAGAGCATGGTTATCGTCGTGACGATGGACCACACGGCGTCCTCGTGCACCCGGCTCGACATGTCCAGCAGCGCAAGGCTCCTTACCCTGCCAAGGTCCGTCGCCGAGCAGAGGTCGGCCGTGCCGCCGACCAAGCAGATGGAATCCATGTCTGTGGGCCGGATACGCGAGGTCCTGATCTTCTCATTCATCATATCGATCGCCGCGTTAGCCGTTGCGTTGGTGTAGCAGGAGTCGCAGCAGCCGCTCTCGAAGGACATGCCGTCGAGGTGCAGGAAGAGTACGCTGGTCCTGTCCCAGAAGGGGCTGATCTGGTTGCACAGGTAGTCAAAGTTGAGGGCGCCGAGCAGCGCCTCCGACCTGACTATATGGTCGAGCTGCGCCAGCCCGACAAGGGGCCCCGCGTCCACCGCGTCGATCTCCAGCAGGGAAACCGTGATCAGGAGGCAGAGCACGCAGGCGCAGACCTTCATGGCGGTCTTGTCACTCAGCTTCTGCGTCAATGACCACACGCCCTCCCCCATTTCCAGGTCCTCGATGTGGTGGTTCACGAGATCCTGAAGGGGCCCTGGGACACACAAATAAACACACACACACAAATAAAAGGATTCCCCATATTTTCCCATATTTTCTGGTTTTTCGTCTTCCCCCCGACTTCCCATATTTTCTCATATTTTCCTGGGGATCGACGATTAATTGTGTCCGTGTTTTTTTTTCCCCTCCTGAGATCCTTGCCCAGGCGCGTGTTCAGCATGATCTGACTGAACTTCTGGAAGTCCAGCGCGCCCTCGGTGCCGTCCTCCTGCGCGTCGGGGTCCGAGGAGACGCTCCTCTCGATGTACGCCTTTCTTGGGGGTCCCCAGACGCTGCGGCGGCAGATTGCGCGGCGACAGTGGACTCCCCAACGACCGCACCTCATGGCTTTGGGACCCTGGAGGACCCCGCCGCCCGAGACGTCCTGGAGGAACGACGCAAGTCCCAGAATCGTGCGGCCAGGAGGAGGAGGAGGAGGAGGAGCAGGAGGAGAAGGAGGAGGAGGAGGAAGGAGGAGGAAGGAGGAGGAGGAGGAGGAGGAGGAGGAGGAGGGGGAGGAGGAGGAACCCCGACTCCCCACCGACTCAGCACGTCGGAGCGGTCGCTGCACCGCCCGTGGGCCCCCCGATCCTTGTCGAAGCTCAGCAGCTGGGCCGCCGTGTGCCGGCACATGTCCGGGCACTCCCGCAGGACGATCAGGTAGAACACCTTCAGGTCGAACTCGGAGATGAACCCGTCCTTTCGGCGGTGGACAAACCTCCCTTTAGTAGACCTCCCCTTAGTGGAAGCGGCCTGCGACCGAAGCCGACGGACCTGGACCCGCAAAATGACGGCTGCGACGCCCTCTCGCGAACCGAAAACGGCCAATTCCTTAATCGACGTGTCAGGGTGGGAGGTCAATTCACCTCCGATCCTTGTCGCCGTCCAGCACGAAGAAGCCCCGCCACAGCCTCCGCAACAGCACCTGCTGGCCGAGCTGGTGGTTCTGCGTCCTCAGGAATGTGAGAAGCTTCGGCAACATGCGGGCGACCCTTGCCAGCCGCACCAGCCGGACCAAGCGGACTGTCCTGAGAGCGACGAGATCTATACGTATCCATCGCCCCTGGCTAGGTCCTTTCTGGGCCTGGGATCCGTGTACAATTATGCCTCACTTGTCATGCCATGGGGTGTCTGCACCGCTCCATGGACCAGGATGGGCCTGGCCAGGGCGGTGGATATGTGTATAGGTCTCGTCGCCCTATCCTGGAGGACCGGGCCACGCGCGAAAGGCGCGCGTTGTCCTCGCTCAGCAGGACTCCGAGGTCGTATCCATTTACCAGCAGGGTGTCCGTCACCAGGCTGGCCAGGCAGACGATGTCGAGGACGACGAAGGCCGACGTCCCATAGCTGCTGTTCCCCACGATGAGCACGATGAGCTCGAACGAGAAGAGGGCGAACACCACAGTGTTTATCACTAGGAACGGGTAGTCGAGGTACTTCTGGCGGACGAGATCCAGAATGTCTGGGCCGAACAACACATAGATCGTCAGTGCCAAGAAAAACGCTGTGAACAACCCGCTGCCTCCGAGCTTCCTCGGGTGGCGCGCGCAAGGGGGTGGCGCGAGGGGGGCGGTCTTCCACAAAACGGTTGGCGGACTTCTGAGCAGGCAAGGGCTTTTGCAGAAACCATCCCGGCTTCTGAGACGCCTTCTCGGAAGCCTCCGGGGCCTTCTAAAAAAGCCCTCCGCCTCCTTAGAAGGCCCCCGCTCTCGCGCTGCCACCCTTGTGCTCGCCGCGCCGCTTCCTGCAGACCATCTGCAAGCGATTCCACCAAGACCCGCAGCGCGCGCGCCCCGGACAACGCCTGCAGCACGCGCAGCGGTGGCTGCAGTTCCACCTGGTCCGCTGCTCCACGGCGGCGGCGTCGAGCCCGGCGGCGCCGTCCCTCGTCAGCGTGAAGATCTGGCTCGCGATCCGCCCGAAGTCGAGGTGCTGCTTCTTGATGGCCCTCGAGGACGTGAGTGGCCGGAAGAAGCCAGCGACGGTGCACGAGTCAACGTCTTGAGAATTAGTGGAGCCCCAATTGTCCGGGTTGTTCAGCCTGCCGACCGAACCGTCGGACGAGAGGCTGCTGACAGACAGGCGGCTGGGACGCAGCTGGAGGTTCTCGTCGCTCCGCCTCCGCGGCCTGGGGCCCAGCGCGCCCTGGGGCCGGCACAGGTCGGACTGCCTCTGCTTGGTCGGCGTGTTCCGCGAGGAGTCCGAGGATAGCAGGCTTCCCCTGCCGTTCATGGACGTGGGTGATGTGGCGTCATCCTGCAGGCCGATGGCCCTCGAGAAGAGGAGATGGTCGTCTGGGGTCGCGCAGTCGTAGCTCCCCACGAAGATCGACTTGCTCCGCTGCAAGTGCCTCGCCTTCAGCGCGCTGGCGGTGTTGTTGCCGATCACCTCGTCGTTCGTCAGCCTCTTCGGCGTCACGCTCGTGCTGAGCGCGGGAAGGCTGTCCAAGGTATTTTCCGTCCTGAGCGTCGGACTGAAGCCTGATGCTTCGCCAATGATGGCCTCCGTCTCTGGGATCCGCTCCCCGGCGGACTCGGCGGACACTCTCGACTTCGCGGAGCGCAGCCGGACCATCTGCATCGTGTCGGTGGAGCTCGTGCCCGCGCCCGACCGCATGGTGCTCGCCTTGCAGCAGGGCGACTTGAGACAACGTTAGCTCAAAATCGGTCCCAGGACTCCTCCCAAGGTCCAGCCACACCAGATTTCCGAGCTGCGTCCAGCCGTGGCGACGAGGGGCCTCCCCAAAGGTCAACTACCGCCGTCTCAACTGACCCTCATCTGATCACCGATGTCATCGACGCCACGCTGTCGCTGGTACGGTGCCGGCGCCCACCACGTGCCTCTCCACCTTCGGGGCCCTCGGCGCCGGCGGTGGCCATCGCTGCTTACGCCGCGCACCACGCTGAGACTGGTCGTGCGAGCGGATGCGCTGCTGGGCCTCACTCTGCAGGGGCGCTGCTCTGCATGGCACCGCTGCCTGGCTCGGCGGCGCGCTTTGGCGGTCACACGCGCGCTTGAGCCAGAATGGCTACGGAGGGGAAGGGGGATGAGCAGAAGGAAGAGGGAGGAAGGACAGGTTGAACTCTTCCTCGATTCGGGTGTCTTTCATCGATGTGCTTGATCTGCTTTCCAGTCCCAGCGTTTTTTCACCAGATTTCGGTCTGCTTCAAGGCCCTAGGACCATCACAAATGGGTCGAGGACGATAAGCTGTCGCAAGGAAAGCGGTCGAGATCTCTAGTGGGCCTCGCAGAAGGAGGAGGTGGAGGAGGAGGTGGAGGAGGAGGAGGAGGCGAAGCAGAAGCAGAAGGAGGAGAAGGAGGAGGAGAAGGAGAAGGATGAGGATGGATACACGGAGGGAGGGAGGGAGGATGAGGGCGAGGAGGGAGGTCGATCGGATCTGATCTATCTCAAGCCGCAACCTACTATCACTACCACCACAGGTAATGAGACGGATGGAGGATAACGAGGAGAGGCAATGAAGAAGGAAGAGGGAGATGGAGAGATGAGGAGGGAGGAGGAGGATGATGAGGGGGAGGACGGGGGAGGAGGACGAAGGAACAACCATGGCGAGGAAGAGGAGGAGGAGGAGGAGGAAGAAGAAGAAGAAGAAGCAGGCAGTTTGATGATCGAGGTTTGAATATGTTGGATACCCTTTGGTCTTTTTGAGCCTGCTGGGGCGCTCTCGAAGCCATGGCTGGACCCGCCTCATAAGCTCTGGCCAGAGCGTATTCCTGGACAAGTCTGGGGGCTGATTTTTGACCACGGGCCCAGGCCTCCAACGTCTTGGACACTTAAGGACGACGCTTTTCACATGTTGCTGCCTCTGGACCCCGTTTCTGCGCTCGTGGGCCATCATAAAAAGCACTTTCAATGAAGTCCCAGCCCTGGCGATGGGGTCAAGACACTGAGGTCTGCCGTGCTGAACCAGGTCACGACTTCGGCATTCGGAGAGGAGAGGAGCCCCGAGGATCGAAGACTCGTTTTGTTGTCTTGTTGTTGTTCTCCCCTTCTCGTCGCTTCCCCACCCGACAGGCCGGGGAGGTCAGACATCAAGATGAGAGCCCCCGGCCTGCCTCGCCCGCCCAGCGTACCGCGGCCGCCGGGACCCACGCGTGTCTGGGGACGCCGCCTCGCCTCGCCTCGCCCACCCACCATACCGCGGCCGCCAGGCCCCAGGTGGCCTGGGTGGTGCCTGAGGGTCCCGCCCTGCGAGCGCCACGAAGAAGGCGTCAGGCCGTCCGGGCGTCGCGACTTCGCCCCGTCCACGAGAACAGACCGCAGGAATCCGCCGACCCGGTCGGCGTGTGTGTGTGTGTGTGTGTGTGTGTGTGTGTGTGTGTGTGTGTGTGTGGGGTTTGTCCTTTCGATTCGTCTCAGTTTCCATGGGCCCGTCGCCGCTTCCCCCCTTTCCCTCGGCCCTCCTCCTCCGGCGCGCTCCAGCGCGCCAGCCTAAACGACATTGAGCAACTTCGTTTTTGAGTCGAAGGGAAACCCCTTCCCTTTGATCCTCCCCCCGCCGGGAGAGGGTGGGGGTCCCGGGGAGGGGGGGAAGGGTCCGATACGACGCCCCCCCCGGGGGGTCCTAGAACCCAAGAACCGAACAAGCGCCAAAAGTACCCCCAAGAGGTCTTCAAGATCTTCCAAGAAGGCCCCGAATCGCCGAACGCTCTGTCCATCGCGCCTTGACGGTTTCCAGACCGCCCACGAGGCCTGCAAACTGGCCCAAGCAATGATACTTTCAATGGTTTTTCCATTCATCTTGAAGGATCTTGGCGTTCTGGCCCCTCTAACACGGCCTCAGACACTTTCACGACGGGTGCTCAGACGAGTGACCCGAACGGAATTTTCATCCTCTCCTGTTTTGCCTAGCTAGCGTCATGTTAGGCAAACGTGTCTTGGTATTGGGTTGTTCTGCTTGCTGACCTTTTTCTCTAGCAACTCATGAGAAGCTAACCTCCCGTTACGAACTGGTGAGTACATGGGTGGGTAAGTCCGTTAAGCACAGTTGCTTTAAGTACTCATGTGGCGTGCAGTCAGTGCTCGGCGGCCAACATGTGATAACCCCCTCGGGCGCAATCTGCTACTCGCCCAGCCACAACAGGAAGAAACATCATTGATGTTCCTGCTGTGACTGGCACTTCCCGACAGTGACTGGTGGCCTTTTTTGCAACTGTTATCGTCGGTGTGGTTGTCCATGCCGCTAGTGCCCGAGCAGGCGGGAGCAGGTGATGACTGGTGGTCGTGGTGGTGTTGCCAGGCGCAATGGTGGTGTTGTCAAGCGTAGCGTATCTGCGGCGAACCCAAGGCGGAAGTGAGAGGGGGCAGGCCCTCTCAGAATGCGGCGGGGCTTCTCAGAAGCCCTCGCGCCCTCTGAGAGGCCGCCTCCGCCTTCGGAGAAGGCTTAGCAGACTTCCTATCAGGCGAGAGGGCTTCTGAGAAGTCCCGCCGCCTTCTGAGAAGGCCCGCTTCCTCTCACTTCCCCTCCGGGCTCGCCGCCGCGCTGGGGGGCCTGGCGATGTTGCAAGAGAAACTGTTGGTGCCACGAAACGCACGCCACGGTTGAGACTGGAGCACCGCACATCGGCAAGGAAGTGCTACCTGAACCTGCCCAAGAACTACCTTTCTTCTTCCCCTGAGATCCGACGCTGCGACAAAATGCAACACAATTGCGACCGGAGCCCAACAATTCACCTTCCTGCGGCACGTTTCGAGCCGCATCGATCTGTGAGGGCCCCAAGGCCCGAAGTGAGGCACGATCGCCCGTTGCGAACAAACATGCGATGCCAGAACCAGAGGTTCCTCCACCTCCTCGCTCGCTCCCCAGACCCACGACGTCACGACTTTCTTACATCGTCGGCCGTCAACTCCCAGGGGCATGCTACGCATGTGCTGAACTCAATGACAAAACAACATGAACTGATTGGCCATGGTGAGGCGGCTATGATGCCCACCTCGAAGACCGCTATGATGCGAATCCGGCCCCGAACCGTGTTCAAGAAGATGTTGAGGTCGAAGGCCCGTGATGACCTTCCTCCCGCAACGAGCCTTTCTGATGGTCTCGAACTGGGTGCGAGGTGCCTACGATGGCCCCTCTGTGCCCACCCCGTCCCACTCACAGGGGCTTCGCATCCCCCTATGATGATGGGATGGATAACTGGTCCGCCTCCCCCCGGACCCGAGGGTGCCCTCCACCTCCTCGCTCGCTCCCCGTGGCTCTCCCTGGGCATGGCGGCCCCCGCGCCTCCTCGAGCCCGTCCATGCTGAGCAACCCGTTCTCGCCGCTCGCCTCCTCGTGGAGCCGCCGGTATGCCGCCTCCTGGCCCTCTGGGAAGGGATCCTTGTGGCGCTCGTGGAGGTCCTGGCTGACTACCTACCGAGCCACCCCAACCCAACCCGGAGACCTGAATCTCGCCCGAATTTCGGGTTGGGGGGGGGTACTGGGATGCATGTGTTTTTTCAATGTTCCCCGACCCCTCCCCACTAGAAATAAAGGGGAGATCGGGGCCTTCGGGTTGGGTTGGGGTGGTTCGGTGGGCTGTGACTGGCCCAGACCCCCCTCGCGTCGTGAAGAAACCGCAGCGCGATCCTTTGCCGTTTTGAGCCACTCGGGGGCATTCGCTGGGCCACAGGACCGTCAGAAGACAGGTCGGGAGCAAACGCCAGCCCTGAAGAAGGGGTCGGGGCACTTCCGGGGGCCCCGGATGCAATACATCAAGACGTCGCATGGCTGGAACACAAACACGGCTAGATTCACATGCTGAACGTGCTGATGGTACGAGCTGGGTACTCGGATGCGCGTACGGACGGTCGGCGTACTGGGCCGCACGGGGGCCAACCGTTGGAAGCACATGAGGTCGCACGCGTATTCAGCCCTCGCTCTGGGCAGCCCGCGTCTTGTGTGTCCAGCTCCCTGGTGGGAGCCACAGGGAGTGGAGACGAAGTGAGACGATGTCGGCATGGTTCTGGCAAGGGGGCCGCTGCGCGGACGGAGACCGGGTAGAGGATGGCGACGCGGACAGGAGCAGAGATATAGATGGGGGAGGGGCACAGAGCAGGAGCAGCGAGGAGGGAAGGAGGAGGAGATGGATCAGCGAGGCAGGGGCGGACGGAGAGATAGAGAGTTGGTGGCAGAGATGGAGGAGAGGACTCTGACGATGATGACCTTCAAGAGGCGCCAGGACCGCACCAAGACGGTTCCATCTGCCAAGGGGGCCGCCCAAGGACGCCCCCGAGAGGCCGAAATCCGTTCAGACCGCGGGGAGATCAATGGTTTTTGCATTCTCGCCTTTCACTTCCGAGGGGCCTCCGAGAGATGGCCTGATGATGGCCGAATGATCGCCCAAGAGAGCCCCAAGAGGAGGCCCGACGAGGCCCGAGACGGCTCCTATAAGGGCCCCAAGGGATGACTCTTTGGGGCCAAGAGGGGCGACGCTAATTTCGTACCCGCCCCTTCTTCGATCGATGTCCTCATATATGGCCCCAGTGGCCTCCAACAGAGCCGCTGAAGGCTCTCGAAATGGTCCAAAGAAGGCCCCACGATGGCCTTAGATGCCCTCAAGAGGCTTCCAGAGCGAAAGATCCGCGAAAACTTTTATGTTCGACTCCTCCTACTGTCGTCCCCCTCCCTCTCCTCTCCCTTCTCCTCCTCGTCATCCGCACAAGACATTGAATGGGAACGTGTTCCGTCAAGTTCCTCTTCCTCTGCTCGCCCTTCCCCCTTTTCCTCCTCAGCCTCCTTCTCCTCCCCTCTTCTCCCCCGACTCCACCTCCACCTCCACCTCCACCTCCACCTCCACCTTCTCCTCCTCCTCCTCCACCTCGTCCTTTCCCTCCTCCTCTTCCTCCTCCTCAGCCTTCTTCTCCTTCCCCCACCTCCAC